TCTTCACGGGGAGAATAATGATGGAATACATCTGAGTCGCAAGATCTAAGGCTCATTTGTGTGAAATGTTTCTATTGGCTTGGCATTATACTAAGTGCAGCAGGAAAAAAGAGAACAAGAAAAACCACATGGCCCTCTCCACCACTACCCTCCCCCCCACCCCACAGCTCATATTCCTATGGGAAACATGGACCACTAAACAGGCTACTGTAGTACAGTTGGTAAGAACCTTGATACAGATGGAGGTGTGAAGTAAAAAGAAGAGACACCTATAAAGGGAGGGTGATAGTAGAGGTTAAAGAAGGATTCCTAGAGGAGGTGATAGCTGAGCAGAGTTGATAGGATGATTACATGTGGTTAGGAAAGCTGGGGGTTCCTGTGAGTTTCATGGAATGCCTTGACCAGAGGCATATTGACAAGAAACAATATGATGAGTGCAATAGATTACGAGTTGTCCCGGGTTTCTGAGCATGAAATAGGAGCTATCTTCTAGCTTTACAGGTTGTATCCTTCACTAACTGAAACAGAATGAACAGAGCTAAGGCCAACCATTTTTCTAACCACCCAAGATCTAAATCCAAATTCTACAGATGAAATTCACCAGTTGTCACCAACTGCAGACAAATAACGCATTTGTGTTTTAGTATGACATCTGTAAGAGTTTTTCTTATTTTTGGCCAAGAATTTGCAAGTTTGGCTGGATTCAGGATATCTGTTTGCTGTGTATTCTGAGCTCCTCTTATGTTTTTCTTACCGTCATTTTTCTGAAGCCATGCTAAGGACAGTGTTTTTGTTATTTCTGTTTAAGTTTCTCAGTGCTCATCCAGTCTTTAAAAAAGCCAGCTTTCATTTATTATGTATTTAAGTCTAAGGTATCTTCAAATACAAATGAGGCCGTGTCAGTATCTAATTGGATTACAGACTTACCCTTAGAAAGTATAATGTAGCTTTTGGAAGATAGGCAATGTAGGTACATTTAGCTGTATAATTAATTAAACAACATAATTAAAACTTTGTAATGAATTGATGCTCTACAAGAATCTGCAGTGTAGTAAAATAATGAATCTATAAGACCCGAAGCCAATGAAGTTGGATTCATTTTATTATGCTACTTCTATCATGTACTGCAAGCAAGAAAGTATGTGAATATAATCACAGATTGGCTTCCTCTGGAGAAACATATACAAGATAACCTAGTGAAATAAATGTTTGAGCTTTTTTATTATCCCTGGACCCTGAATCTGTATTTCTAAAATTTCTTGACCAGTCAACCTACTGATATCCCTAACATACCTTTGTTTACAGAAACAGCAAGGAGAAAGCCATCCCTATGATGTCTCTGGTTTATCTTTTCTGCTCCAAGATTGCTTGAGCAGCAGTCTTTTTTATCCCTGCTGGCTTTGTTGAACATTTCCTTGGCATCCTTACTTTGGATAATTCAGAACTGCAGCAGTTTGGCTTTCACCATTACTGAATCCATGGAAAAGCAGGTGGCATGCTACCTTGTTAAATGTCCCTATTACAGTCTGGGGGAAACAATATAGAAATTTGAGTTGTGCAGCAGTTTCAAAGGAAAGAAAAATCTGCCATTTACTTTGTGTTCTATCTCAGGGGGTGGACCTCGAGGGGAATGTGTCAATCAAGATCTGGACTAGTTTAGAACTTTACACACATTATCATTACAATACAATGATATGGTCCAAAACATCTCAGCTACTTTTCTTCTGGTACAATCAGTCACATGATATTTTTAGCAATTGTACAGCAAAAGCAGTGAAAAAATAAAGATGAGAATACACACAGGGCTCTCTTTAAAAAGAACATATAGTAGGTATTACACAGTTACTGTTATTGGGATAAGCCTATTGTATGGTCAGCAAGCCATCTCCTGCATGGATAAATACTTGCCACCAGTGGAGAGCCAGAGATGAAAGTCATTTACACAGGCGTTTGCTTATTTACACAGCTGGAATGTATGTGAGCAGAGTTTTTATGATATAGAGAAGAATCAATTTTTTAAAGTTGACAAAATATTTATCTTTTGTGGCCCATTGTTCAATATTCAATACATGAGTACCATGTTTTTCTTTTATGTGAGGATAACAAAATCTCCCTTCCATCAGACCAGCAAGAATTTTGAGTTGAGAACATTTTATTTGCTCTTTGTGTAATGAGTTTGCATGGCATTTAAAGGTCAGACCTAATTTCTTCATTTTAAAAATAACACTCCATTATATTGTATTTTATGATACATAGGAGATATTCTTGCTTCAGACATGATAGGTGTTTAATAAGCAACACTGCTGGATCAAACAAGATTGCAAAGTAGATTCCATTATATCTGCACTGAGATTAAATGATAAAGACATACAATTTAGTAGTAATGTTTGGAGACCTACGCATCTCAAAAATTAGAACCCATAACATTAAAGTTAAATCAGCAACATTACTGGAAATTTTTTGCATGATTAAACTGCCTGGTTTTTAAATTGTCCCAAATATTTTCTTTATAAACAGCAGCATTTCTAGAGAGTCCTTGGATGATGTATACCACATAGTTATAGGAGAGCTGTAGAGTTCATTAATCAAACCACCCTTGATTTCTACTTAATCTATTTCAACCAAGGTTTAAATTCAAAGTGCATTGAAGAGTATTAGGATGGAAACAATAAGGCCAGGAGTGATGGCTCACACCTGTAATCTCAGCACTTTGAGAGGCTGAAGTGGGCAGATAGCTTGAGCCCAGGAGTTCAAGACCAGCCTGAGTAACAATGGTGAAACTCCATCTTTACAAAAAAAAAAAAAAAATTACCAAAATTTGCATGCTTCCGTGGTCCCAGCTACTTGGGAGGATGAGACAGGAAGATTGCTGAGATCACACTACTGCACTCTAGCCTGGGTGAGACCCTGTTACAAAATTGTTACTCAGGCTGGGCTTGGACTCCTGGGGTCGAAAACAATAGAATATAAAGTAGAAGGATTTGTTTTGAGGTCAACAGAGAAAATGAGGGCTTTTATATTTTGTGACATAAATAAAAATACAATTTTTCTAAAAAATTATTATTAATGTATAAAAGGCAAGCAAAATCCAAGGATTTTTAACCATGCTTTGGGAGATACAAAAGCTCTGAATCATGAAAAAAATAGAATTTAAAAAATCGCTCTTATACTGAGCCTAGATAAACCCAGTAATTAAATATTTATATGTCACTAAATAACAGACAACTTGGCCATTTCAAGGACTGAAGCTTGTCTTACCACAAAACGATGCATTCATATTCCTAACCATGTTAGATATATTGGGAATTCATGAGAACTCTTGTTTGGTATATGGACACCATAATAAATTTAGTACATATTTTTTTTCCTCTTCCTATTTCAAAGATACTATAATAGAGGCAATAATAAAATTCTTACATCTTTGAAACACTGTCACTTTACAAATGAATAAAACTTTTAATTTTCTTTTATTGACTGGCTGTATGTTCTTATATTTAAGGCAAAAGAAAGTAAAGATAATGAACTCTAAGTATATATTCTGTAAACAAACCAGATTGACAAAATTTAAATATTATGCTTATATTCAAAAGATAATCTTTGGGACATACATCTGTAGATTTTAAAATGCAGTATTTTCTCTCAACATGCTGGAAATAGTGTACTGTATTCTGTGTATTGATACTGTTGAAAAGTGAGAGCTATCTAATTCTTGGCAGGAGTATGTAAGTGTACTAGAAGATTTGAATCTGGTGGTTGAAGAATGGGATGTTTGGAATTAAGGTTTCCATCATGGTACCAAGTTTGATAACGATAATGTCCAGAGTGTATGTAATTTTGAGAATGGATGATTGCAGGGGAATGTATGAATAGATCCTCATTTCAGTGTTCAAAATGATATATTTTTACCCAAGTAGTGAATGAAATATGGTGGTCTTACAGACCCTAAAATTTTGAAAAGAATTTTTCCCTGTACATTGAGAAGATCTAGCCCACATATCGTGTTCAATATTATTGAAAGCCTTCTGGCTCAATATCAACTAATGTTTTTAATTAGCTTTATTGTAAACTGAAGCCAACTAATCATAGATTCTTGACTGGTGACTGACTTGATATTTTATTGCCCGCGAAGCTTTGGTGTTTAAGTGTGGCATAGGCATTCACTGCTGAAGAGCAATGGAAATGATATTCTGCCTTGATTGCTTGAAAGTGTGATGTGAGTGCTGTCTTCACTAATAGGTATCAAATGGTACCATAATATCTAATCCTATACTCTTTTTCTGAATCTTTTTTAAAATTCTTGGGTACATTACCTTGACACTTTCCCCTCCACCCTAAATACAGTTTCTTCACAGTCTCTCTGCCTTCCTTCTAATAATACACGGTTTCAGGAAAGTGTGTTATTGACTCATTGACACTAAAGTATGTATGGTATTTGAATTTTAACAGATTTTAAGCCAAATCAGTGAACCTTTCTGACATGTAAGAAGTAACATTCAGTAAGGCCTTTTGAAACTTCCAAAATAACATCGCAGTTTGTGACTTACTATATAAGTAGGTAAAGTTGACTAAAAGTGATCAGAAGAAATTCAGAAATGTTTTTGTTCAAAGTTTAGAGTTGTATGCTTATACTTTAATTTGTATTTGTAGACATATATACTTTGTAAAGTTTTAGAAGATGAGAAGAATCAGTAGGTAGTAAATTACCCACAGTAGCCATTGTGGCTTTCAAATCATAAATAGTAGCTACTTTATGATTTGGAGCTTGATGTATAATTGTTTTTTAATTTAACAAAGATTATATGTCTCAGAAGCTACTGGAAAAAACAAGATGTCAAAATACAATTCTTAGAAATGTAGATATACTAATGGATTTTGATAAAGAAATTTTTGATCAGATGAATCATTAAAATGCTACCTTGATTAATGGTTTTGTTAATTGGGCTACACCTGATATGCATTTGCTTAAAATTTACCTATTTTTTTTCTTATTTTTTTCCCAGTGTTAAAGAACCCAGTATGTAAATTATATAGATTTCCCACATCTGACAATAAGTGGATGCGAATTCGAGAGCAGATGTCAGAGAGCATTCTTTCTTTTCATATTCCTAAGGAATTGATTTCCCTTCACATTAAAGAAGATTTGTGCAGGTAAGAGAAAATAACTATTATCTCTCATTTTATTTATTTGTATGTCATTTAAAAATTTTTAATTGACAAACTACATATAATCTGCAGCATGTTTTGAAATATGTATGCATTGTGAAATAGCTAAATTGAGCCAGTTAACATTTGCACTACCTCACATGTTATCAGTTATTTTTGTCTCTAGAACATTTTTCTAAAGGCATAATGATAACATAAAAATCTAGACCTGAGCTGTCCACTGTGGTGACCACTAGTCCTATGTAACTATTGATTACTTGAGATATGACCAGTCCAAATTGAAATGTTCTATCACTGTAAGATGCACACCAGATCTTTAATTCTTAGCATATATTTGCAGATGATTTAATAACAAAATGTTAACTTGGATATATTGGGGTTATATGAAATATATTATTAAAGTTAACCTCACCTGTTTCTGTTTTAAACTTTTAAAATATGGCTATTAGAAAATTTAACATTATATATGTGACTTTGATTTGTGGTTTGAGCTATATTTCTGTGGATACCTTGGTATCTAGCCAATAATTTGAGCTTTGATGTTGTAATAATTCTTGTGTCTTTTACTCAACTGCTTATGGTTGCTGTTTCGGAAGTAATTCCTATTTGACTCTCCTTTGGACTTCTAATTTGTAGCAAGGCTTTCAGAAACTTATTAGTCTAAAAACTATTCGAGATGACTGAATAAAATATGCTATGCTAATGGACAGTATTGTACAACAAAATTAAATCAGTTGCTATAATAAGGTAGAAGGATTTGAGAGCTGATTGGTTGATAAGAGTACTCTGGACGATGATTAATCAATGTGTTCCTCGGCCTTTTAAACACACCTGTAATAACCTTAAAAATGCTAAATGCTACATTATATAAAATACTGTTAAGTTTCTAAATCTCATTAAATTAACAACTTTTTAAAAAAGTTAACTTTATAATTGCTGAAACCCATAGCAAAGTGTGAAATTTATAGCAATTAGGTTTCTGCCTTATTCTTACATTAATGCACATAGTTATTTAATAGTGTTGTACTCTTTGGTAGACTCCGAAGTCCCCAGGGATTCCATATTGACCTAAGCCCGTGAGGATACCTAGAACTACCTAGTAGTGCTAGGCAATAGACGACAAAACAAATTACCTGGAAGGATAAAGCAAGCTTATGTATTACAGTAGAACCACAGGAATTTGGATTTTGGAAGTCATGTAAGAGTCATCATCCTCAACATGGTTGTGTTCTAGATCACTGGACACCAAGAACCACTCCCAGAAGAGCCATGTAATGATCACCATTTCATCTGGAAGGGTTGAAGACAGTGGCTAGTTATGTAGAATAAGGAAAGACTCTCAGTAGACACGCATGAAATGCCAGGCAGGACCTAAGAAACACTGAAGAGGAGTTGCCAGATGAAACAGACTTAAGAATTTAGGACTCAGGCTTACTCTTTAGATGGCTCCAGAATAGCTGCACTCAACGTAGCCAATACTAAATTTATAATTACAGTTAACAATAATTTATTGTATAATAACAAATACTTGTAAGAGAAGAATTTTAATGTTCACCACACAAAAGATAAATTTTTGAAGTGATGAATATCTTAGTTATCCTGACTTACACATATACAGGTATCAAAATATCACATGTACTCCCAGAATATATACAACTATATCAATAAAAATAATATAAATGAAATAAAATATCTATGAAGACAAAGACAATACAAAATAATGACATGTCATAAAACACTAAAATTCATTAACATATATTATTATGCTATATGTAGTATTTAACATAATAACTAATTTTAGCCTAATATTTTTGGGTTGAAAATCTTAGTTGATGGAACATTAACACCACTTTATTTAAAAATTCAGCAAACTAGGAAAACAGAGAGGAAAGATAAAGACCTGTCTTGTGCCCTCCTCTGTCTTCTGTCTTTAGTTTAGAAACCTCTTGAAAGATGAGCAGCTGTCTTTCTACTGCTTGTCTGCTACTTTTGAGTCCTCCACAGTGCTATCTTCAAAGCCCACCTCATTCTCACTAATACCCCTCTGTCTTCATTCATTGGTAGCAAATCCAAGGGAGAAAGATGAGTAGTGAATTAGGAGAAAGAAACTAATAAGCTATTGAATTTTGGTAGGCACAGACACTGTCATTACTGTTGTTATTTTAACACATCAAAATATTATCCACATACCCCATTCTCTTTATGCCTTTCTCTGTATCTCTTTTTGTTATTCCCATATGTTTCACAGCATAATATTTGCTAACACATGGAAGGGGCTGGTGGGCAGTTTTGGGAAAGGCAAATAAACAGTGTCCCCCAATATGAAGTGCCATTGCCAGAGATAAAATTAGAACTGGAATTGTTCAAAGAAGAAAATTACATTTTAATTCTACAAAAATAAATGATATAAAAGCCTGATAGATTCCAAAAATTCACCAGGGACTGTGATGACCAGGTTGTATACCTTTGGCTTTCTACAATATGTTTTCTGTGTAAATCTCCCATCATTAGAATTTATTTAAATATTCAACGATGAATATTTAAAATTTTATAACAAAAAGGAGAGTTTTAAAATTCATCCTGAAGACTGAAGACGGTAAAAGGAAAAGGTTGTGGAAAAAGTGACCAGCTGTCTCAGTAGACTGTAAGAAGATACAGTTATTGTGAAACAGAATGAGAAATCTATACAAAGAGAACCATCTAAAGAAAAAAGGTCATGAAGAAAAGCATAATGGACTAAATAATGAAATTTAAAAATGCAGTGGCCAAATTAAATGTACAGATCCAGCAGAAAAGATTTAACACTAAGAAATCATGTCTGTAATGTGGAAGGCAAACACAATAAGCTCTTCAAAAATGCTAAAGAAAGGTGAAAAAAAGTTCAAATGGATGAGAAAAAAGATGTTGGATGTGCAAGACAAAGGGCTGGACATTACTAAATAATTTTAAGTGTTCTTGAGGAAGAAAAGTTAGTGCAAAGCCTTGAAAGAAAGCATTGGAAAGATTACTGAGTCTACAGTTTTGTTTCTTCATTTACATGGTAAAATCAGGCTAGCATTGTACTTCCCCGTAGAACCCAATGGAACAGTATCTACTGATTTCTGAGAGAAAAGGCTGTGACTTTACATTATTATATAGGGTTAGGTTATAATTTTTTTGTGGTTGAAGTCAGACCTACTTGCATATGCAGGAGCTCAGAAACGGTCATGCACAAAACGTTCTTGAAAATCCTACTTCAAGGTATATGCTATCTGACTGAGAAAACAGTTTAAGAATTATATATATATATATATATATATATATATATATATATATTTTTT